TGCTGAAGCTGCTAGCATGGTCGTATCTTTTACGCCAACCAGAGGTAACGGGTGATTTTTTTGAGGTTAGGATTTTCATGCATTAGTATTTGACAGATCACGTGGGATTTCAGACATGGTGTCAAAGAGAAAGATGCTCAGTATGCTTTGAAATTTCATCATGAATAGACTTACTAACGAGCAACGCTTGCAAATCATTGAATTTTATTACCAAAATCAGTGTTCGGTTCGAAATGTGTTTCGCGCTTTACGTCCGATTTATGGTCTACATAATCGACCAAGTGAGCAAACAATTAATGCGATTGTGACCAAGTTTCGCACTCAGTTTACTTTATTGGACATTAAACCAACCACACGAATGCGTACAGTGCGTACAGAAGAGAATATTGCGTCTGTTTCTGAGAGTGTTGCTGAAGACCGTGAAATGTCGATTCGTCGCCGTTCGCAGCAATTGGGTTTGTGTTATTCGACCACATGGAAGATTTTACGCAAAGATCTTGGTGTAAAACCGTATAAAATACAGCTCGTGCAAGAACTGAAGCCGAACGATCTGCCACAACGTCGAATTTTCAGTGAATGGGCCCTAGAAAAGTTGGCAGAAAATCCACTTTTTTATCGACAAATTTTGTTCAGCGATGAGGCTCATTTCTGGTTGAATGGCTTCGTAAATAAGCAAAATTGCCGCATTTGGAGTGAAGAGCAACCAGAAGCCGTTCAAGAACTGCCCATGCATCCCGAAAAATGCACTGTTTGGTGTGGTTTGTACGCTGGTGGAATCATTGGACCGTATTTTTTCAAAGATGCTGTTGGACGCAACGTTACGGTGAATGGCGATCGCTATCGTTCGATGCTAACAAACTTTTTGTTGCCAAAAATGGAAGAACTGAACTTGGTTGACATGTGGTTTCAACAAGATGGCGCTACATGCCACACAGCTCGCGATTCTATGGCCATTTTGAGGGAAAACTTCGGAGAACAATTCATCTCAAGAAATGGACCGGTAAGTTGGCCACCAAGATCATGCGATTTGACGCCTTTAGACTATTTTTTGTGGGGCTACGTCAAGTCTAAAGTCTACAGAAATAAGCCAGCAACTATTCCAGCTTTGGAAGACAACATTTCCGAAGAAATTCGGGCTATTCCGGCCGAAATGCTCGAAAAAGTTGCCCAAAATTGGACTTTCCGAATGGACCACCTAAGACGCAGCCGCGGTCAACATTTAAATGAAATTATCTTCAAAAAGTAAATGTCATGGACCAATCTAACGTTTCAAATAAAGAACCGATGAGATTTTGCAAATTTTATGCGTTTTTTTTAAAAAAAAAGTTATCAAGCTCTTAAAAAATCACCCATTAGTTCAGTAATGAACACTCACACCGTTGCGTCGCAGGACGAAGTACACCAGGTTGATAGAACCCTTTTCAAGAACAAATTGTGTTGCTGTTGCAAAGGTTCCGATCATAATGTATCGCAATGTATCGTTTTTAAAAATCTCCCATTAAATCGTCGGTGGAACACTGTAAAATCAAACAGTCTTTGCCGACAGTGCCTGGGTACACATAAGCGCAGGTGTTTTGTGGAAAAGGTGTGCGGTATAGACGGCTGTACTATAAAGCACCACAAGTTACTTCATAAGACAAACGTCTCGTTAATCTCGAACCGACAAGCTACGAAGTCTGATATGCTCCCGCAATCGGACGCCCAAGTAAACACCCATAGCCACAGCGCTGTCGGGAAACAACCATATTTTAGGATCGTCCCAATTTGTATACATGCAAACGGGAAAATGGTAAAAGTTTTCGCCTTTTTAGATGAAGGTTCAGCAGTAACATTAATCGATAAGAATTTATTTGATGAACTTGGCCTTAAAGGTACACATGATCCTATATGTCTACGGTGGACTGGTAACACGACACGCTCCGAAAATGAATCAGTGCGAGCAACAATCAAGATCTCGAATGCTACCAATAGGCGTACATATAAATTGAATGGTGTGCATACTGTCAACGCCCTCGACTTACCTGAGCAGTCAATCGATGCTGAAACAATAGCTAAAAAATATCCGCACTTGAACGGTTTGCCAATCGAATCTTATAATAAAGTGAAACCATCGTTACTCATTGGCGCTGACAACTGGAAATTAGCTGTTCCTTTAAAAGTAAAAGAGGGAGCGTGGATGCAGCCAATCGCTTCGAAAACGCGTCTAGGCTGGACAGTTCAAGGCGGTCAGAACGATCACATTTTTGACTTCCGACTCAACGTTCACTATTGTGACTGCCAGAAGGGCTACCTAGAATTACATGAGAGAGTAAAGGAGTTCTTCAGATTGGAGTCACCGGACGCATCAAATTTGTTATCTGCAGAAGATCAAACGGCCGTAGACTTAATGAATGCCACATGTCGCAAGGTTGATGGTTTTTACGAGATTGGTTTGCCATGGCGAGATCTAAATGTATCTTTACCAGACAGTTACTCAAACGCGCTTAACCGAGCCATATGTCTCAAGAGGAAGTGTGCTCGAGATCCAAATTTGAGAGCAGAAATTCAGCAGCAAATTAACAATCTAGTATCAAAAGGTTATGCTGAAAAACTAAGCACACCTGAACTTCACATGGAAAGGGAAAAGGTATGGTATCTTCCCATATTCGTAGTAACGAACCCAAATAAACCGGGAAAGGTACGTTTAGTTTGGGACGCTGCAGCGAAGGCCAAAGGGGTATCGCTAAACGACTTCCTGCTTACTGGTCCAGATATGCTCAATTCACTGTTCGAGATATTGTTGGCGTTTAGAGTAGGTAAAGTAGCCATATGCGGTGACATCTCCGAGATGTTTCACCGTATCAAAGTCAGAGAAAGCGACTGACATGCTCAGCGATTTTTATGGTGGGACAACGATGAAGAATCAAAACAACCGAACATTTACGTCATGCGAGCATTGACGTTCGGAACGAGCTGCGCTCCTTACATTGCGCATTTTGTGCGCGATAAAAATGCGAGCTGTTTTGAAGAAGATTTTCCACGAGCGGTAGAAGCGATCCAAAAACATCACTATGTGGATGATTTTATAGATAGTGAAAACAGCGAGCAAGCAGCTTTAGAATTAGCTCTGCAAGTTAAGCAAATTCATGCATCTGCCGGTTTTAACATACATAGCTGGACCTCCAACTCCAAGTTCGTCCTCGAACAACTACGTGGAGATGCGGCAGAAATTCAAGGCCCGAAAGAATGGGGATCTGCGGCAAAAATATTAGGTATGTTTTGGGATTCAGCTAACGATTCGTTTAGATATATTTGCAGATTTATGCGATTACGCCGAGATGTCGTAAACAACTCGATCGTACCGACAAAAAGAGAGATACTTCAAGTACTCATGTCAATTTTTGACCCGCTCGGACTTATAAGTTGCTTCACTATAGGGCTTAAAATCCTTCTCCAAGATATTTGGCGATCTGATATTGGATGGGATGAACCCCTAAGCATAGATTTATATGAAAAATGGTGCCATTGGAAGTCAAATAATGAAGTTATAAAGACAGCGAAAATTCCTCGCTGCTATTCAGAGTTTTTACAACATGCGAAGGAGGTTCAACTTCACATGTTTGTGGATGCTGGCGAAAACGCATATTCAGCTGTGTGCTTTTTGCGTGTTGAGCATACTAATGGCATCTCCGTTGCACTCGTTGCCGCGAAATCAAAGGTCTCGCCTCTAAAGCCATTGTCTATACCTAGACTAGAGCTTCAGGCCGCGCTCGTAGGAGTAAGACTAGCAGGTGCAGTACTTAATGTTCAACGCATACCCATAACAAAGCACTATTTTTGGACGGACTCGAAGACGGTTCTAAGGTGGTTGCGAATGGACCCGAAGAACTTCAAACCGTATGTTATGCATCGAGTCGGAGAAATTTTAGAGTCCACAAACGTATCCCAATGGGATTGGGTACCTTCGAAAGAGAACCCGGCCGACTTAGCCACGAAAAGTTCAGTTCGGCTTAACTACAAGATGTGGTTCTCTGGTCCACAGTTTTTACTATCTCAATCGAATGAGTGGCCTCATTGCGAAGAGTTCAAAGGCGACGAAATCGACCAAGTCGAACTAAAACGTTACGTGCTGCAAATAGACAGGGTAATTCAAAAAAGTTTATCGCTGGACACAGAATATTTCTCGGATTGGAAGCGCTTATATAGAGCAGTTGCGACGTTCTTGCTGTATATGAATAAACTGCTTGCAGCGACTAAAACGCAAAAGTTTAATAAAGCCATCGATTTTCAAATGATTCAACGAGCTCAAATAATCATAATAAAATATGCTCAGGACAGCGTATATCGCGAAGAAATAAACCTCTTGAGTCTCGGTAAAGCTCCGCGTAAGCATAGCCAGCTTGGCTCTTTGAATGTATATTTAGACAAGAGCGGAGTAATTAAGAGCAAAAGCCGCGCAGAGCACCTTAACAGTCGTGCGGACGTTATTGTGCTACCAAATTCACACCATGTTACATTTTTAATTGTTCGCTCGATACATGAAAAATTCCATCACCACATACACGAAGCTATCATTAATACAGTACGCGCACAATATTACATACCTCGACTACGAGTCTTGTACAGAAAGGTCCGCAAATCTTGTCAGCAGTGTAAAAATTACACCGCTAAACCAAATGCGCCACAAATGGCGGTATTGCCAAGTGCGAGGCTTGCAGCCTTCGAAAGGCCTTTTACTTTCGTCGGAATCGATTTCTTTGGTCCACTCTTGGTGAACGTTGGGAGAAGGCGGGAAAAACGGTGGGGTGTTTTATTCACCTGTCTAACACTGCGCGCTATTCATATGGAAATTGCGCACAGCCTGGATACAAGTTCTTGCGTTATGTCGATCAGAAATTTTGTAGCTCGCCGTGGCTACCCACGACAAATCTTCACCGATAACGGCACGAATTTCAAAGCTGCGAAAAAGATCATATGCGCGGAGATGAAAGAGGTAGATTTTTCACTACTTATGTCAACATTCGACCAGATCAGCTGGAAGTTCATTCCGCCAGCAGCGCCTCATATGGGAGGGGCTTGGGAACGGCTCGTGCGGTCTGTCAAATCTGTTTTGTACAATATTATGCCGTATGCAAACTTCAACGACGAAAGCCTCAAAAGTAGCTTATGCGAAGTAGAATACATCATAAATGCACGCCCCTTAACTTTCGTTTCACTCGAATCAGACGACGACGATGCTATTACGCCAAATCACCTTCTGCTGGGTTCGCCGGATGGCTTCAAACCCGTGTGTACCGACGAATTAGACCTAAGAAAACGTTGGTACCAGACCCAAAAGTTCGCTGACAGATTCTGGCACAGATGGGTTAAGGAGTACGTACCCATCATCTCTAGACGTAGCAAATGGTTTAATAAGGTACCGCCGATACGTGTTGGAGATATTGTCGTCATAGTCGACGAAAATTTGCCAAGGAATTGCTGGCCGAGAGGTAAGGTGATTCGTATTGTGACAGCCAAAGACG